AGAGATTCCAGTTTGGCCCAGCACTGGGGATTTTTAAAGATCAGCATACTTAGCCATGAAAAACTTTTTAGATGATAAAGCTTAGGAAATGTGGACTAGGTTACCTATTTATAATAACTAAACACACTATTTAACTAGTTTGGTGGCATAAGAGCCAAAAAAAAAAAAAAAACCCTCATGAGTTTGATTCAGAAAAAAAATAAAAAGGAAGAGCATGTCCTCTTTACTTATTATTTCCGTTTATATAATCCTTGATCTCCTTGAGAAAACAAGGAATATTAAAATATTGAAACCAGTTCATCTTGCCTTACACAGAATCAGTTCACTAGCAGAACAGTAAAGTGGACAATGGTTCATTTGAAGTGGGATTCCGCGCTGGCGACTAATTCTTACACACCTCACTGGAAGCAGAGGCCATAAAGAAATAAACAAAATGGTATCATCTTACCGAAGAGGTGCGGGCCAAGAATAGGATTATAGACAGGCTACTTAATTCTGTTCCACTTGCCTTACCTCCTCCTCAAGACTCAATCCTGTAGCTTCAGCAATCTACAGACTCCCAGCCCATATTCTGAAGTCCTGGCCTTTTCAGTGAGCTGCGCCCCTTTGCCAAGTATCTCTAATGTCTGCACTCAAATCCTGTATCAGATTCCCCCTGGACTTCCTCATCTCCCCTCATTCCCCCCAGTTCTGAGTTTCTAACTGCCTAAAAACTTGGACACAGCCCAGATTCCTCCTACTGGTCTGTTCACCTCTCCCTTCTTAATCTAATCAGTTGCAAATTCCTGCCAGGTCATTCCTTTTCAACCCCCACGGCCTGACTTCTAATCCTTGCTCTCGGTCTATCTCAAAGGCACGCTATCACGGTGAGCTCTTTAACTGGACGGCTCCAGCCCGTCTTGGGTTCCTTCACTCCAGACACAGTTTTGAACTTGACTTGTTCGTTTCTCTCTATAAACATGTCCCTGTCCATTCTGGTATCGCATCCGGGGCCCTCACCCTTCTCATGGTCATTTATCTCCTGTCTAGCTCTTTGATGGGATTTCCCTGGCAGCTCCTCTCTTGTAACAGCCTCCCCCCATTAAGGGCTGTGCTCTTCTTTTGACGTGGAATTAGTGTTAGGGAAGCTGTGTGGGTTTTTACATTTTCTGTCCCCTCCCCCCAAACTGCATTATAATACCCCTGAAGTTACCGAGCAAGTGTCTTTTTGCCTCTTGAGTTTTCTCTGCTTAATATAACTGGGTCCCCTTTCCTCTTAGATAAGAACATACGTGTGTTCTTATCTGTTGCTTTAAAAATATTTTCTTATATAGATAGCTAAACTTTCCTTTATTTTATTTTATATTTTGGTGTTTTGGAGACAGGATTTCTCTGTAGCTTTGGAACCTGTCCTGGAACTCACTCTGTCGACCAGGTTTGCCTCGAACTCACAGAGATCCTCCTGTCTCTGCCTCCCCAGTGCTAGGATTAAAGGCGTGTGCCACCACTGCCCGGCCTAGAGTTTCATTTAATCAGCCCTTATTAATAGCCCCCGGTGGACTTTTCTGGTTTTATTAGTGCCAAATAATTTCCAGTATACATCCTTGCACATCTTTGGGAACTTTAGACTCCGTAGGTATCACGCACTAGGATTGCTGGATTCAAATTATGCCTGTCTCAAATTCAGATGTAATGACAATATTTGAAGTATTATAATATTTATTAGTGTGCTTCCTTATTTGTGTGCATGTGTGTATGTATGTGTATGTACATATATACATATTATATATAAGTATATATAAAATATATAATATATACATTCCTGTGTGTGAAAATGGGCACGTGTGTGGAAGTCAGAGGACAACCTCGGGCGTAGGTCTCCGTCTTTCACCTTATTTGAGACAGTCTTTTTGCTGTTTTTTCTTCTATGTAGGCCAGGCTAACTGATCCAAGAGCCTTCCCTCCACTCTCCTCTTAGGAGTGCTGGGATTACAGATGTTCCACCCAGCTCAGGATTTGGCTTTTAAGAAGATCCCAAGTATTCAAACTCTCTTCATATTTGTGCGGAACTTTTACCCATGGAACCATCTCCCCAGCCCTCTTTTAAAAAGTGTGCCACCACATGGAATTTTATACCGTGCTGGAGACTGAGCAGAGGACTTGCTGGCTTAGCACTTCACCACCGGGGTTATATCCCTTTGTGTCTGTGGTTTTATATTTGTTTGTTTTTTTGTTTTGTTTTGGAGACAGTCTCCTGTAGTCCAAGGTAGTCTTGACTTACTATGTAGCCAAAGCTGGCCTTCAGCTCAGGCCCCTTCTGTCTCCGCCTCCTAGCTGCTGAGGTTACAGTTATACATTGCCCCTTTCTAATTTGTGTATTGTAATGCATCTCAACAGACTATCAGCACTGGTGGATATATAAAACCAGGAAAAAGCATGTTTGAGGGCCAGTGAATAGATTCCTTAGTGGTCAGTCGTGGTAATCTGGCATCCCCAATGCTGTCTGCCCACCTTTCCTGACCGAGGATCATCTGAAGCTCACAGCAAGTCGAAGTGTGCCGTTCCTAGAAGCGGACGGTCTGTACATTTCGCAGATATGAATGTAAATGAAGTTTCATTGCTTAACCCTTAAGGAGTCTCCAAAGGGATTCCATGAACTCAGAATTTGATTCAAACAGAAAAGGCCCGCAAGCCGCAGCCCTCCTTTCTGTCATTTGAGCTGTTTTTGTCCAATGCTTCCTGCACCAATCATCAGAAGGGAGCCTGTTTCTTCTTGCTTCGAAATTTTGTCTATTTAGCGGTTCTTTTTGAAGTTGATGATTAATGGGACAATAAATGCCACCGAACGCTGTGAGCCACTTGGCGTCCTCACTGACTTTTTAGAAACAGAGTAATATTTAGCCGAGAGCTTCCCAAACCTAGTTATATGGAGGACTCCTGTGTCGAATTCATCCCAGTAAGCAGGCTCAACAACTCTAACACCAATAGGAACTACTTTACCTTTGAGTTCTAAAGTGTTGACACGCAAGGCCAATAAATATTTTCAAATTCTTCAGGGGAAGGGAGAAACTCACTAAGCAAGACTCAAAGTAGGATGGTTGGTTTTAGTTGCTGATTACATTTCGGCCTTGTGAATGGGCCAGTCAGTGTAGACCCTCACACATCACTAGGGTAAGAGTTGATTTTAGATGAGCGCCCTTGCTACCCACCAGGATGCGTCAGGCCCCTGAGGACTAGGACTTTGACTGGTCATCTCCGGATTAACGGGCTGAGGCAGAATACAGGTTAGGGAGTGGATATTTCCCTCACAAAAACGCAAAGCCCAGTTTTCAGAGGCCTTGGTCGTATGGGAAAGACCTAGAAAGATGAACTGAGCGGTTTCTCTTGGGGACCTCTGTTTCTCTCTGGTTCTTCTTCCCCCTAGTACTCCTGGCTTTCTAGTTTCTGGGAGATTTCAGATTTCTGCTCGAGCACTAACTGCTTCTTCCTGATTCCTAAGATTCCCCGTTCCCCCAGAAGCTTGTTTCAAGTCTAGGCCCTTACTGTCTAGTTCTATGCTCAACTTCTTCAGCAAATGCCGCGACACAGAAAGTGTCCTGGCTGACGCCAGGTCCTGACAAAATGAGATGTTACATTAGCAGGTTATTACATTGTTATATTAGCAGGTAGGGTTAAGGGAATTCACACTAAGAGAATAACTGGGTTCTGGGGCCTTTCTTCCTAAGGTGCTACCATTCCAAAAGAATCTGCTTAGAGACCCGGAAGAATAATAACAGCAGGCTTTGAAGGTTTGGAGGCAGAAAGCCTCCTTCCCAGAAGGACAAGGGACATTGCAAGCTCAGTGTCTTGATTTTCCAGGGCTTTATCTCCTTAGGAGTCTGATGTCCGGTTCCCACTCAGCGCCGAACAGTGCTTAATAGCTAAATAAATAAATGCTTGTCAGAGAATATCTACATCTCATACCAGATAGACCCTTAATCAAGGCAAGTGTGGCCTCTGAATCCTGCCTTGGGCTTCCTGCGGGGTGATCGTCAACACCTCCTGGGCCCCGTCTGGGATCGAGGTGGGGAACTTTCCGGAACGTACAGCTGGAAGAAGGGACTAGAATATTGGACGCGGCCCTGTCCCTTGGATTTAGAGCCAGCTGGGAACTCCAGATGCTGAGGGCCCTGACCCTGCTGGTGCAGCGCCCCGACGCGGCGGGGAGGCGCGCGTGATTCGGGTCCCCAGGGCCCGCGCGTGGCGAGTGGCTGCGACTGCGGCCGGGGTGGCCCTGTCGCTTCTTAGGATCAGGCCGGAGTTTCCCCATGGGCCATTAGGGCGGACGTGTCGCAGCGATCACGGATCGGGGACCCGCCTTCACTTTGCTCCCTGAGGCCCGCGAGGTCCCTGGTGAGGTCATCGAGGGCCAGACTCCCAGCAGAGGGTTCGGTGGGCGCCGCGGCCCCGGACACGCCCCGGACACACTCCCAGGGCTTTTTGCACACTTCCCCGCCGCCGGGAACCGCCAAGGCACGGGGCGCGGCGTGGGGGGGAGTTTCTGTGCCCTCGCTGTTTGTTGGGACTTCTTCCCAGGACAGCATTCCCCACCCTTTCCTCTCGAAAGTCTTGCGGTTTCCCTAGAAGACGGAAGGAGGTCGAGAAGCTTGCAGACTTTTCTTTTGCCATCTTTCTCGTCCCGAAACTCGAAATCCCCAAAGGGTCTGGCCGAAAGGAGAGATAACTCGGGGTGGAGAGCAGGGAGAGAGCAGAGCATTCCTTCGCCCTCCCGCCTCCCACCTGGTCTCGCCGCTCTCCTCCCCTCCCCTCCCCCAAGCGCCCTGCAGCCCCGCGTCCCGCCGCGGCCACCCCGGCAGCTGCAGGGTTAAGCTCAGGAATGTGGCGGCGAGGAATGTGCATGCAGATGAGGCGAGCGCGGGGCGGGCCGGAGGCGGGGCGTATGCTAATCGCACGCAAATGAGGAGGCCAGTCGCCGCCGGGCCGTTGCACCGCGGAGCTTCCCGGATCCGAGCCCAGACGGCGTCGGCCAGGGCAGCCTGGGCGCCTCGACCCTCGGCGGCCACAGGGGGACGGGGAGGAGGAGGAAGAGGCGGAGGCAGCGGCGGCAAGGAGGAGGAGGGCTCGCTCGCCTGTTCCGAAGCAGACATGGTGGACTGATCCCCGGCAGGCAGGACTGAGAGCAGGGATTCCCGAGGCTTCCCCGCGTGTGGCCCGCTGCGCGTCCCGCGCCCTGCACGCCCCTCGCCGGTGCCCGCCTTCCCGCCGCGCCCAGCGCCCGGTCCCTATGGAGGCGCCGCTCGCCGGCGAGGCCGCCGACCATGCCTAGGAGGGCCGGGAGCGGGCAGCTGCCGCTACCCCGGGGCTGGGAGGAGGCCAGGGACTACGACGGCAAGGTCTTCTACATCGATCACAACACCAGGAGGACCAGCTGGATCGACCCCCGGGACAGGTGGGAAGCCGGGCCGGGGCGCGGGGACCCACCTCGGAAGTGCGGCGGCGGCTGTTGTCTGGGAGACCTGGCGGGCGCGGGGGGCGTGGGGCGTCGCCGGCCCTGCACCCCTGAGGTCCCTGGGGTAGGCGCGGGACCGCCGGCCTAAGCATGGCTGTGTCTATCTGCCCGCCAGGCGCCCCTTCTTGGGGCCCCATTGCCCACTGCCTTCCCCACGCCCCTCCGGGACTTGTAGACACTCCCTGCCCCCAAGGGAAGGGCTGGATTGGTGCTCTGGGCTGACACCCGGAGTCCAGTTAACCGGCTCAGGGTAGGGGGATACTTGAGTCCTCTTAAGACCTCCCGTGCGCTTTAAAGTTGGTCCGAGGGAGGCAGAGGGCACCTTTCGACCTCTGCAAGGCACTCTGGGCCCGGGGCCTCCCGGAGGCCTAAGTGCACAGTGAGCAACTGGCCATCTGGGCCACCTGTGGCATCGCTCCAGCCATCCTTGGCTCCTGAGCTTTGGCTGCAAGCTTTTGCGAGGGCGCACCTCCATCCATGCCCTAGGTCCGGAACGTGAAGAGGGGCCCCACTCCTGGCTAGACCTTCCGTAGCTTTGCCCCTCGGATTTTAAGCACATTGTTTGGGAATTTTGCTTTTTACTGTTATTCCTCACCCGATAGCTTGGTTAGATTTTCTTGTTGAAGTGGAATGAACACTGGGACAGAACTGGGCTAAGGGGAAGCCCAGACTTGAGCTTAGCTTGATTTTGCACGGGTCTCTCCATTTACAAGCGTTTTGCTCCTACCTGGAGATCTGAAGCAGACAGACATGAAGTTTTGTGGGACCTCCCAAAATGTTGTCCCCCCCAACTTGCATTTTACTCTGAGCATTTCTTAGAATTAAAGGTGTTAGGAGGTCACTAGGAGGGCGCAGTATGGTGTCACACATCTGTATAAACTCAGCACGTGTGAGGTAGGAGGAGGAGAAGGAGGATCCTGAGTTCAAGACCAGGCCGAGTTATGGGAGACCCTGTCTCAGAAACAGAAAAAAAAATTACTAAGGAACACTATTACTAGTAAATTTGAAAACTCTATTCCTTTTTGATTTATTTTATATTTTAGACCCTCATACTACATGTAGCTCAGTCCGGCTGACTTGGAACTCATTATGTAACAGGTTGCTTCCAAACTCAGCAATCCCCCTGCCTCAGCCTCCTCGATGCTGGAATTACAGGCGCTGGCCACCATGCCAGGTTAGTTCCTCGTTGTAAATTTATTATATCCTCAGGGATGCCCCTGCCATTTGAATCATTTTATCATTTCTGAAAAATCTTACCGGATTTTTATGCAGTGTGGTCCAAGGGAGGGGGGTGGGTTATAAAGCCTTTTCAGGTGCTTTTCTGTTAAACAGCCCTCCCAGCTTAGTTTGAACCGGAAATGTTTTTCTACTTTATGCTCCCAATCGCTCTTTTCCGAGGGACTATTGTATTTGAAAGCTATTAAAGAGCCGTTATAAGAAAGTCCCGGACCGCATAAATTTATGGAACAATCCTTGTTAAATTATCCATGAAGGTATGGGTTTAGGTTTCCCTCCTGCTGGGAAAGACACCTGTGCCCAGGCCCCACCTCTCCACAGCCCCATGGGCCATTGGTGCCCCATGAAAGTTGTGGTCCGTCACTCCCCGCATAGGAGTTGCCGTAAACCTCAGGCCCCAAGCCTGGTACTTCTGCTGTTGCACTTTGAAACTACTTAACAGATAGTTAACGTCGGTGCCGATGCTGTGCACACAGCAGCGGTTTGTGAGGCAGCTGTATAAATATTTGACTTTTACAGTTGTGCGTGCGGCTGCTCTCTCCGCTCTCGGATACTTGGAGTTTCAGGTTAACTGCAGCCGAAGCTGCAGCACGTGCTTGCACTTTCTAGGCATTTTACACCCGCTGCTGCCTCAGCTCACACATGTCTCGTTACTGTCCCTCGTCTCCTAAAGAGGATTCTAAGAATGGGCAGCGGCTGGGTGAAGAGAGGGGAAAGCCAAGTTCTATGGCTGGGCTTCTCCATATCACGGCTTCTTCCACAGGCCCGGCACACCACTCGCCCGCTTGCGTTCAGATGGAATGGATTGTCACTTACTGGGAATGCCGTTTTTAGGAAAGGGGGACCCAAGTACTATGCTGGCGACCAACAGTTGTGACTAAGTTGACTTCTCTTTTCCCGTTTTCCTCGCAGCTGTTAGGCCTTTAATTACTTGGGGATACACATTTGAATTTCTTGGAATATTTCTAGATTTTGGTATGAGAACTTTAAAAGACATTCTGTGAATTGAGCCGCTGTGACATGTTCTCTTTTCGTGTAACTGAACAATAGGAAGCAGCGAGTCCTCCTACTTAGTGTTAGAACTGATTAGAGTAGATACTTGGAGTCATCACTGACTCTTGTTAATTTTGCTACACAGCAAACATGGAAAGAGAGATGTTCCCCCAGGCCAGTAGGGAATTCGTGGATTCTTCTGCATGATCAGATTGCAAATCCTGAAAGAGAAGAGTGACTTGAGACACCATGGATCCTTAAAGTCACTTAAGCAAAGTGGTTGGAATGAGTTTGTCATCGTTATTGTTATTTTTATTCCGTTAAGAGTGAGAGTTTTGCTCCTGATGGTTCATCAGAATTCATCCAGTGTTTCTGGTTGGACAGAGAATTATGCTGAGTGAATGGGAGGAGGCTGGGATTTCACAGCAACTTAAGTTCATTCAAGGAGTACTGGAGCTAAAACATGGGACCCTGTTTTGGGTACTTTAAGGTTTGGAGCTTGGTCACATGATGCAGACATGCATCCCACATGATCTTGGGATAGACTAGACCTTTTACCACTCTGTCATGTACTAAGTTGAGCTGAGGTTCTGCATGGACTCTAAAATGTAAATAATATCACATCCTCCTAGGGATCTTCCCCAGCTCATGATTAGGACCTAGCCAGATAGTATTATTGTCTGTTCCATGAGTGTGCAGTACCCTTGGAGGCCAGAAGAGGGCACTGGGGTCTCCTGGGGTTGGAGTTGCGGGTGCTTGAGAGCTGCTGTGTGGATGCTGGACATTGACCCCTGCCTGGGCTCTCGAAGAGGAGCCAGTGCACTTAACTGTTGAGCCATCTCTCCAGCCTTCTGCTAACACCTTAACTCAGGGAAACCCTGATAACATAGAGACCACAGCACATTTACGAGGCTCTGTGGAGGTGATGTCATTTTATTCTTCCATCACTTCTCTGAGGTAGGGTTTTCTTACCTCACAGTGATGAAGAGGAACCGGAATCAGAGAAGCTATTGGTCAAGTGTGGAGTCAGGATCTGGTACTAGACAATGTCACTCCCTAGAGCAGGGTTCTCAACCTGCCTAATGCTGTGACCCTTTAATACAGGTTCTCATGTTGTGGTGACTCTCAACCATAGAATTATTTTCATTGCTTTTCATAACTTTAAATTTTCTACTCTTATGAATTGTAATATAAATGCTTGTATTTTCAGATGGTCTTTGGTGACCCCTGTGAAAGGGGTCGAGACCCACAGGTTGAGAACCACTGCCGTCAAGCTTGTACCCAGTTAGTTGGCTTCCTGGAGGCTTTGCTTCCTAAGGATGTTATTTTGTGGGTTCTCTCTCATTTGTTCACCATGAACAGTCTTTGACCACACCAGTTGGTATTTATGGTGGGCCATAGATCAGGCATCAGGGGTTTTCATTACTTCTCGTCCTTGTGCTGGATGCTAGCCAGAAATAAAATAATTTTGTCTAGCAAAGCTTACAGGTTGCCACACAAAGCAATTTTATGTTAAGACTGATGGACCCTACCCTGTAACTTTTGCTAGGGTTAGATTTAGAGCGACTTGTAGTTTCAAGGAAGAGAGGCTTGCGTGGTGATTGGTGCATGAATGGAGGAGGAAGGAGCGCGCTGAGCGCGCTGATGTCAGAACAGCCTGTCTTTCCTGTCTCAGGTGGCTCATGCTTAGGATCCCAGAACTCTGAATCTCCATTCCTTTCAAATCAGAGTAAGTAAATGGACTGCCCCATGGCTAACTTGTAAATTTCTCCAGTCTTAATTCCGTGTTACTGCCTTGTGTCCCTTTGTGTGTGGTAGATGTGAATTGCATGTTGCTCAGGCCAGATAACTGAAGGCTAAGATCAATGAAAGAATGTAATTCGAGCCTCTCTCCTATTTTAGTTTCTTATCAGGCTTTCAAAAAAAAAAAATTATACCCTGAGCTACCAACAACCAGAGACAATCAATTTTCCAGTTGGATTAGAACTAATGAGAGAAGTGAGCGGCTGCATCTCGAAGAATAATATAAATATGTGAATTACTTATAAGAGCAGAAAACCCACCGCCAGCTCCAATACTCTTGATCGTACTGCCACAGTCATAAGTTGCTGCATATTGTCCCTTCCCAGCAGGCTCAGCGCCTGGATGCCAAGTGATGCTGAGAGTTAGCTGAGTGATTATGGTGTTTGAAGTTGTGGAGGGGTTGTGAAAAGCCTTTGGTTTTTAATCACTTGAGGGAGTGTTAAACCAAACTATGGGGTCTCCTAGAATCCCCGTAGAAGTGTTTCTAGTTCTCAGCAGTTTGCTACTGTGCTTGCCAGAGTGAGCAGTAGTTGCTTGGCATATTTGAATGACTAAGGTTTCTTCTGTGACTTTAATGGTCTGCAGTTTACAGTTTAATTCTGCTGTAAGATTCAGGACAATAGTTGGTTTTTCAAGAAAGACTGGTATTTATAAACACGTTATTTGTTTTGAGCTGCAAATTGCTAAGTTGTCAGCTACAGCCAGCCATGGTGACATGTGGTATTTAAAGTTAATGAGAGGAAGCCTGGTACACTGGAAAGGGTGGGAGCTGCCTGCAGGCCCTGCTCTGCCTTGCAAAGTGGCGCTTTCTTCCTTTTCTTGGTAAAATCCTATAGAAAACGAGGCTTTTTGCATAGGGGTGTGACCACTTCATCTTGCTGATGTGGGAGTTGGTGATCCTGTGTGTC